TATATATACACACACACACACACACCTAGCAATATTGAACTATATTCTAATTTGCTGCCACATAGAAAATGTTGTATGTGACATAGCATTCTTCAATAAATTCAACAAGTAAAGAAAATAAAAAAGGAAATAGCCCACAGATATGTAAGATTTGAGGTTCATACATTTGTGCCCTTGAGGAGTACCATTTTCTTTGATCTGGTACCATGCAGTCTTGTAGATGTTCACCAATCATACTATATGACATCACATCCCAGAAGATGGTATTCTTCAGTGCATAGATAATCCCCAAGCTGGATAATTTGCATATAGATAGTACCAAATTCTTTCCTATAGGTCTCCATATAAATATTTAAAGCTGTGAGTATGGTGTTCCAGAAATGTGATCAAAATGAACACGTTTGTATAGTGTGCCAGGCTAATTGTATGCTCTTCCTTGTACAGGAATCGGAAGGCTGATCAAGATAAGATTGATCTTGCTTTCTCTATAATATTAGATGGAGAACCGCGCAGTCTAGATTTTATAGCGCCTGACCAGCAAGCCTTTGACTACTGGACAGATGGTATTAATTGCCTCTTGGGTAAGTTTCTTCATACATTTTAGTCTGTTCATGGATGTTCATGGATAAAGATAGCATTTAGAATGCAGAACACAGTACAAAACATAATAAAACATCCATGAACAGAAAAATACAACAAAATTGGCATCTACTGAATGAAATGCCTAGACTGTCCACTAAAATACATAGGACAAACTGGCAGAACATTCCACAGTAGATACCAAAGAAATATACAAGCAGTTAGAAATAATAATGGTAATTTGGGATACTGAAGTCACATATTAAGCTTAGGAACCATAACAAATATAATGGATGTTATAAGATCACACAAAAAAGGAAAACAAACACATTAAAAAATACCATATATACAAAATCAGTAGAAATAACTTACACATGATGAATGACTCAAACATTGATATGCAATATTCAGAACATTGCAGGAAATGAATACCAGTTAGCAGCACGCACGCACACCCCCCCCCCCCATATAAAAAGCAGAACCACTCCATGAAACAGTCAGAACAGCTGTACATAGCACAAGAATGCATATTATGAGTTTCTTCTGTTACTTAATTTCTTTTATATCCAGATATTCTCCTCAGCACCTTTGTTTTCATGTGCCTTCATTCTATAGTTTTACATGTGGAAGGACTGAGCTTCACACCCATTTAAAATTGCTTGTGAAAGTGTAACAGCAACTTGGTAATGATAATTTGAAACATTCCAGGAAATCCAATGACAAGTGCCACCAAGGACTCTGAATTCAAGATGCTCCTTGACCTTGAAGTTCGACTGCAGCTGCTGGATATGGATGGTATATCCATTCCAAGGAAACCTCCTCCAGTTCCTAAAGATCCACCAAATTATAACTTTTGTTCCACTTGACCCACTGTAATTAGTGACATATTTTCAAGCAGATTTATTTGGACAGTAAGCATTTCTCCTCCACTTCTTATTTTCTGCCAGAACTACAACTCTGGTCTGTACATTCCTTCTTCCAGATAATACTTTTCACCACCTTGCAGCTGCTTTGATTTTGTTCTCTTTACACCACTTCCAATGCTTAGTACAGGTTTTTTTTGTGTGTTTACACTGTCATAGCTTAGTGGCTGCAGTAAGGTTGGGTTGTGCAGGTAGAGAGATTCAGAGCATTTCCATTATTATTATCTGTGCAATTCTATATTATTGTCACGTGTTGGGTGTGTGTCACGCGACAAATAACTTCACACTGTTCTGGATCTAGCGAATTTATTACACATTCACTCTTACATTCATACAATTCACAATTACACAATTACTGCCATTGGCAGTATCACAATTACTTCCGCTGCACTCGGCGACTTCACGATCCACAGTGTCACTCCTGATCTCACACTCTCTCACATACTGCTCAGCCGGCTTTTTATACCGTTCCCTGTTGCCTCGTGTTACCAGCGGTGTCCCCTGTTACGTCACAGTGGGAAGTGCTGTTATGTAACCACAGGGGGGGCGCGGAGTGTTGTCTGGCCTGTTACCGTAGCAGTGGCAGCGCTCCAATGCTGTTATGTCACTGCTGGTGGGGGAGGGGGTGTCCTGCATAGCGCAAATATGTCACACTGCTACCTCCTTAAGGCTGTTTGTCCCAAATAGCCTAACGGTGCATCCCTGTTCCTATTCTTTGAAGGCTGTTCTTGCAACGTCTTTTTGTCCGGCTACTCCTCTTGCAGTGACTATTCTCTGGCTGTTACATCCGCTCCCTTCTTAGGATTGTTCGTCCTGAACAGTTCCATGGTCCATCGATTGTAGATCCCGTCGTTTCACATGCACTCATCGCTTTCATCCATCACACATTCATTCTCACTGGGGAGGCAAGTACTTCTATGTTACCAGCTCCTCCTCTGCTTGAAGTATCTTTTTCCGTTTTGGAGGGGTTGACCCCTCCACAAGATGCATTTCGTCATTTTTGGTAACCCGCTGGAAATTCCTACTGCTCGCTTCACGATTTTTAGCTCTAGCGTCTTCTTGAGAGTCTTATAGGCTGGATCTGTTTTTCCCAGAGGTGATAGATGTCTTGAGCTGTACCCTCTGATACTGATCATGGTTGCTCTCTTTTTCTTGTATAATGGCCGCTTGTTGCCTTGGTCCTTAATTCCATTTTCGCATTCAGGTCTCATTTGATATCTCCTCCCAAGCACCCGTTCTTTCGGGGTTCCTTGTACCACATTGCCATTGCCTGTATCCTGTACAGCATGTAATCTTCCTTATGGCTGCGGTTACTTCTTTCCAAGGTCCACAATTTCTGTGGGTCATAATTTTTCTGAAAATATTCCTCTTGCACCATGCCACTGTTGCATGATGGGACATTTTCCTGCAGGCAGCAGCTAACTTCATCCGGTATCCACAATCTCCTTGGGTCAGTTTCTTCGGCCCTCCATGTCCTGCAGCTTGCTTCTTGCCCCTATGCCTCCTCTTCCATCCTTTGTCTGGCTTCTTGTTGTTGGGCCACCTCAGGTTTCGTTTCCACTGATGTCGGCTCTTTCTCTTCTAGACGCGCCTCCATCTTTTCTGGGCAGGCCATCGTCTCTTTCTGGGTAATCGACGTCATTTCTTCAGGTTTTCAGACCGGTATCACTGTGGCGTCTTCTATGGGGACCTCTTCTTGTTGGGCCGCCTCAGGTTTCATGTCCACTGAGGTTGGCTCTTCTTCTTCTAGACGTGCCTCCATCTCTTGACAGGCCATCGTCTCTTTTCGGGTAATTGATGTCATTTCTTCAGATTCTCCAACCGGTATCACTATGGCGTCTTCTACGGGGACCTCTTCTTCTTGTGCCACCTCAGGTTTTGTGTCCACTGAGGCCGGCTTCTCCTCTTCTAGAGGCGCCTCCGTCATTTCTCGGTTGGCGTCCATTCTGGATAGAAACTCTTTATGGCTGGCCTCTGTCTTAGCTTGGTGGGATCTCATGTTGGCTTCCGACCTTGCTTGGATGGCTCTTGTTTCTGCTCGGATGGCTTCTGTTTCTCCGACCAACTCTTCTCGCATGGCAGCCATCTTTTCTCATCGGGGTCCATCTTTTCTCACCAGGCGGCCATCTTTTCTCGTTGGGGTCCATCTTTTCTCACCAGGCGGCCATTTCTTCTCACCTGGGGGCCATCTTTTCTCGCTGGGCTTTCCACCTGTCAGCCCTTTTCTCGGCAGATTCTCTCTCGGCCCTCAGTTCTTTCCGCAGGAGTTCCATCATCTGCTGTGAGTCCATTTTCTTTTTGTAAGATAACATTAGATGTACTCATAAATTCGATTATTCATCAAGGCGTGTTGAAGTTCGTAAACCACTTCTGACACCAAATTGTCACATGTTGGGTGTATGTCACACCACAAATAACTTCACGCTGTTCTGGATCTAGCGAATTTATTAAACATTCGCTCTTACATTCATACAATTCACAATTACACAATTACTGACATCGGCAATATCACAATTACTTCTGCTGCACTCGGCGACTTCACGATCCACACTGTGTCACTCCTGATCAGACACTCTCTCACATACTGTTCCACTGGCTTTTTATACCGTTCCTCATTGCCTCGTGTTACCAGCAGTGTCCCCTGTTACGTCATTGCAGGGGAGGGGGTGGAGTGTTGACTGGCCTGTTACCATAGCAGCGGCAGTGCTCCAATGCTGTTATGTCACCACTGGTGGAGGAGGGGATGTTCTGCATAGCACAAATACGTCACATTATTTTTATGATATTTGAAATCACCTTGATGTTTTCAAATTTTTATTATTTCTGTTTTCATACCTTATAGCTACAAATCATTCAAGTCACCTTCAAAATCCATCTTTCCATCACTATCAGTCTGTTGTAGCCAAAGTGTTTTTGGTTCCCCCATTCACATTGCTTACTTAGTTGTTCTGGCCCTGTATGTTCTTCCAGTATTTCTGTGTGTTCACACAAACCAAACTTATTACTTTCTGTCTTTTACATGGTTTTTTGTTTTATGCCCATTCATTCTGTTTCATTTTATACACAATTATTCTGCTTAGTTCCATGTCCTCAGTCTTCGGAGTGGCTGCTTTCCAACCAGGATTATATGCTGTGGTGTATAGACCAGTTGCTAGGCAAAGAGCTGTATTAATTTTTAATTTTCTCATTATGTAATTTGTTCCATTCACATTGTTCTCTATTTCTCAGAGGTAAAATATATTTTGTATTTTTCAAATACTGTATAATTGGTATTAAGAAGAATGGTATAATCAATTAATCTTGATGGATACTTTTAAAAGACAGACAGCATGTTTGGTGATAATAGTATTTTCTGAGTAACTGATGATTTTCCTATTAGCACTTAAGCATTGCATTCGTTTTACAAAATAATTCCTGATTATCTGATATCCAAGCATCTGGAGTTCTCACCCAACCAGCATCCATTTAAAAGAAATGTTACCATTTTTATGTAGTTACTTAAAAACAGATTTAATATGTGCATGTGTTCACCTGCCATCACATTGATGTAATGAAGTTTCTTGCTTGTTACTGCCTTATGTTCTACACTGTTATGGCTGTCTGCAATGCAGTAAAGAAATATAGCGACAAATAATGCATATGGATTTAATAAAATTATGCCATGCTAAAGTACTGGTGGTAAATTGTTAGTTATACAATGAATAATTTGTGTTAAATAAAAAATGCCCTTTTCCAGTTCCAGTTATCTTTTTTTTTGGGGGGGGGGTAATTATATCACACTTTTGGAATACGTATTTCATGAAACTTGGTTCACAATGTGACTTCATGTCTTCAGTGGTTTCATTAAATATGTGAGCCTATTTTCTGTATGTTGAAGTAAGATAGGATGGAAAGGGGTGCCATCCTGTTTGTTCTTCATCCGTCCCTTTGATATTATTTTTGTTTTACTCTGAAGCAGAAATTCAGTAGTCTATTTTGCAATTTCTGGAGAAATTTTATTGTTTTGTGTTGCACAGATATAATCTGTAGTATGACATCTGAATGTTTTGAATTCATTATTTTACAGTTTGTAACGTTTCTAGAGAACAGTCCAGTGAAGTATCATCGGGGTTTCACATATATGTTTGGCAACACATCACTGACAGCTACAGAGACCTGTGGCTGATATATTTAGTTGGAACTTTAATGGACTAACTATTTGTTATCATATATATATATATATTATGCAAGTGTACATGCCAACATCAGAGTATGAAGATGATGAAGTGGAAAAAGTGTATGACACAATTGAAGAAATTCTTCAGGAAGATGGAAGAGGAGACACAAACAGCATCATATTGGGAGACTGGAATAGCATCGTTGGAGATGAACCATATCAGAATATTGTTGGATCACATGGACTAGGAAGACGGAATCACAGAGGTCAAATGCTTATTGACTTTTGTGA